ACTACGAATTCGTAATGTTCGGTTGACTGGAAGCCTAAACTATGTGTTGAAATATTTTTTATCGAACGAATTTTCTCAATAATGTCATTGAAATAAGTGCCCCACATTAACATCTGAGTTCCAAGTACATGGAAAAAATGCAGGTAAACAAACATATACAGATTCTCCGAAACACAGTGCCCTAAATACTGTCGGCTGTACAAAAACAGGGTTATTCAGATGCAAAAAAACGACATAATAAAATTTGAAACAGTAAAAATCTATGCATACGTTCAGAAGATGAATGTCTTTTGTTCTGAGTATCATTACATATAACGTGTATTACAGGTTTTAAGTACACCCTTTCTGTCTCCTTTATTTCTTCGAATTTCCAAACCATTGAATTACTTTGCGAAAGCACTTTTCAACATAATAAAAGATTTTATCAATATTTTATCTCAAATGATATGTCTTAAAAAATTTGTATATCCATTTATACTCCATCATAAACGACAAACACGATATCAACTTCAACACCAGACAGCGATGTTTCAACCTACCCAGGTCTCATCAATGGTACTAGGCTGAACCCCTGAACTGCCCTGAAATGAACAATCATGACAGTTGGGTGATCACGTCTTCTATAGATCCAATAGGTGATGTCTTCGTAGGGGGCGATGTCATAGCCTTTACCAGCAGCCTGACTTGTCCATTTAGTCCAAGTCTCCAGAAAGCACTGCAGCTCTTGGGCTCATTGCGTTCATTCTCCCATCTTCTCATGACACCCATTCCATCAGTCTCGTTCCCTGTACTAGTTTATACAGGTTCCGTGTTGATTGTTCGTCATATTCTTCTGGGCGTAATTTTGTACGTCCATATATGGCCTGCCTCCTGTGATTCAGTGCCTCACATTCGCATAAGATGTGTAGAGCTATTTCTGTCCCTTCGTTGCATAATCTGCAGCTGAGGTATCCGTTGTACAACCCCATTTTATTCATGTGTCCTCTAAGCGGACAATGACCGGTTAGTAACCCTGTAATTATTCTGAGCCGATTCCTACTATATTGGAGTTCTTTTACTTTGATAAATTCAAATAATTTCACACTAACTTCAAAATACCAGGAAGAGTAGTATATAGTAAAAATTTTGGCTGTACTTTCCTGCAAGTATTTCAAAATACGACTATTATAGTCCATTTTGTGAGGGGTATTATATCGGGATTCTGTACAGAGTGGGCCAAATTGGACACTTTCAAAGGAAAACTTCGGTTTTCAAACTGGATGGATGAAAACTAATGGCTATATCTGAGGGTCAGATTTTATAACAAACTCAGTGGTGAAAACCGCATATCGATATCTATCATCGTTTCTGAGTTAGAGCATGTTTTTCGAAAATGGGCATTTTCGAAAAGTTGCTGTAACTTTTTTCTTGTCAAAAATTTCTTGCTTCTAAGAAAACATTTCCGAAGCACTTTTAACGTAGAACTTATTGGTGAAGAAAATTTAATTTTTCAAATGAGATATCAATAGTTTTGATATAAAACAATTTTTGTTTCGTGAGACCCCCTGTATATTCCTGCATATTTCGATAGAGTTTGAAATTATCTTTCCAAAAATGTAGCACATTTGATGTTTTGCTAGAGTAATCTTTTAAATAGGGAGCTTTTAGGTTTTTTCATGTGGACTTTGAAAAGCAATCTTTGCTTTGGACGATGCGGCGATAAAACAAAATATAAATTTTCACTGGTAGCTGTCAAATTTTAATTTGAGCAGTGAAGATTCTCTTCAATTAGTGGTATTTGATCAATTTTCAAAAACACTCGCAATGAAGTATGAGAATTATGACATCTCTGCATCTCCCCCGGTTTTATACAAACCGGGGGAGATGCAGAAGCAGCAAGCAATTTGTATCACGAGGGGCATCCAGAGAGAAGACAACCTTTTTGAGACAGTTTCGCAAGACTGCGACACAACCTAATCAATGGTGGTCAATTTAAAAAGGAAAGGTATATATTATATGAATCAAATAGGGATAAGAAGTTGAAAGAAATAGTCGATTTAGGAGCTGTTGAAAATAATCCCAAAACATCAACGCGAAATTTGATAATATCAACAGGCCCACCAAGAACTAACATGAGGAGGAGTTAAAAAAACACAAATTCAAGCCATACAGGATCAGAAGAGTTCATTAACTCAGACCAGGGGATTTTGAATAGCGCATGGCTTTTTGCCAATGGTTCCTGGGTTCCTTCAACCCCTACAATTCTTATACTTGGGTATAACAAAATCCTCAGCAGAAAAGTCAAAGAAAGATTTGGATATAGTGTGTGAGCAAGAGTTTTCAGGGGTAGAATTATCGGTCCGTTCTTTTATAATGACACTCTCTCACCTCAAAGATATTTAGACATTTTAAGGCTGAATTTTGAACCCCTTGTTGATAAATTGTCACTAAGGGAGCTCAGAAAAATAATTTTCAAAAAGGCGGGGCTTTGCCTCACAACACTGCAATTGTCACCAATTATTTGGCTGTAAATTTTGGTGATTATAGGCTAGCCAACCAAGGACCCGTCCGTTGGCCGGCCAGGTCACCGGACCTAACGCTTAGGGACTTTTTCCTCTGGAGGATGTTGAAAGATCTTATGTTTGAATTGTCAACCAATTCTAAATAGGAATGTGAAGCGGTAGTGATGAAAAGTTTTGCTTCCTATTGGACTAATTAATACAGCAATAAACGTTTAGAAAAGGTGTCGCCTGTGTGTAGGAGAAGCTGGTAGACATTTCGAATGCCTGAAATATATTTCATTGTTTGCCTTTTATTATTATTATTGTTGAAGTTTCATTTATAAATAGTAAATATAGTTCAAATTGTTATCGATTTTATTGAAGCTATGCGTTTCAATTACTGCTGTGGAAATATTTCTATATAATGAATAGTTACCACTTAACAATTTTTTCTGTTTTTTCGCCGCGTCGTCCAAAGCCTACTCGATCAAAGTTTGCGTTTCAAAGTTTTCATGGAAAAACCTAAAAGCTATGTATTCCAAAGATGACTCTAGCAAAACATCAAGTGTGCTACTTATTTGAAAAGGTAATTTTAAGCTCTATTGAAATATACAGAAATATACAGGAATATACAGAATATCTCAAAGAAAAAAATAGTTTTCCATCATTAACCATAGATATCTCAATTGAAAAAATAGTTTTTCGCAACATTGAATTCTACGTAAAAAAGTGCTTCGGTAATGTTTCCATAAAAAAAAGGAATTTTTGACAGAAAAAAAATTACAGTAAATTTTCGAACTGTAACTCAGAAATACGGTTTTTACCATTAAGTTTGTCATTCAATTTGATCCGCAGACACAACCATCAGTTTTCATCTATCTAATTTGAAAACAGGAGTTTCCCGTTGAAAGTGTCTAATTTGGCCCACTCAGTACAAACAAGAATTAAATTATCTAAGAACAATTCGTTCAGGCCAGTCTCCACTCCCTACACAGTAGGTTAATGGACTGACACTATCAGAAAACAACTACTCCCCTGGCTAATACCACGAAGGGCGTTGGATTATATCCGACAGGTGTCAGTGCAGGATTCTTCACAGAAGTTATTCCTGCATATGCTGTTGGCGATACAACTGCCGCAATAAATTTTCAATTATTGGAACACACTTGCAGACCGGTTTCGGGCTGTTTGGCCACTCGTCAGTGCAAGGTAGTGTATATCATTAACATAAAGTCGATGATTTCCAATAATTGAAAATCGAATTTCGTCAGAGTATCATTTCTCGAACTAAGCTGAATCATACAACAAACAACAAGTTTGTCGTCGCCCCATCTGCCTGTGAACGAGGTAACCAACTGCATATCCGAAATTTGCCCAATTCCTCGTATAAGAAAAGAATACTTTCACATACAGTCAGGGGCATACTTGAAGACTGGCCATAAATCAAATTATCTAAGAACAATTCGTTCAGGCCAGAAAACAACAAGTTGTTTTCTGATAGGTGTCAGTCCATCAACCTACTGTGTAGGGTGTTGAGACTGGCCTGAACGAATTGTTCTTAGACAATTTGATTTATAGCCAGTCTTCAAGTATGCCCACTGACTATATGTCAAACAAGAATTACAAATGGAAATACGAATAGAGTTTGAAAACTGCAAATACTTTCTAAAATATGAGAGATCAGCTTTAGTACATTGTGAAAAATCTCATATGTGAAAAAGTGCTTCTTGTTGAGTTTTTTGTTTAATGAAAAAACGGCGACTTGCGAAAAATCTGTAACACGTATGTAAAATTACTCAGATTCAAGAGAGACATAAAAGTAGTTTTCGTGTGATTCTGTTCTCACATCCTGATGTTATCAGCAACTAGTCATTCTGAAATAATATCATACGAAAATTGAATCATACTAAAGTGAAATATATGACACTGCCAATGGTATAAGAAATAAACAACTAGGCCCTACTATTTTGCAAAATTGATTTATAATGTTTTATTAACGTTATAGGTATATGGTTGAATAATTAGTTCGTAAATATTATTTATGATGTCACAGCCTGCTTTATGCCGTTTTGTGATCGGGGAACAGTTGAAAAAAATGAAATTACATTGTAATTGTCCCCGTTACTCTGAATCACCCTGTTGGAATAAAATTCAACAGCTTACTTGTGATTCTATTTTCTTTTCTTCGCCTGCTCTAAGCATGCATGTCTTATTCGTGTCTTCGGAAAGTATCGTGATGTTCAGGACTTGAATGTGTTGGATGTGTTGCATTATGTAAATAAGTTATAAAAGATAGTACTTCTTGGGCAATGAGCATATGATAAATGAGCAATACTCATCGATTGTTTCATTGAGTTTCACTGAGATATACAAAATTGAGTTGTGATGAAAATATTCAATGAAGCATTCGCCAATATAGAATCGAAATCAATTATTTCCATCATGACATCGAAAGAATTGATTTGATTAAAAAAGTATCTTCAGTATAGTATCTGAGACTAATTTCCGTTTTTCCTTTAGTAAAATCCGCACAAGGTTTGATTGCCAAGGATAAAAGTGGAACTTCGGATCCGTATGTAACTGTGCAGGTCGGGAAAGTTAAGAAACGCACAAGAACAATGCCCCAAGAGTTGAATCCTGTGTGGGATGAAAAATTTTATTTGTAAGTATATAATAGGTACCTCTACCAAAATGTCCGTTATTACGTTGGTCATTATTATTATAATACAGTGTGTGTCACCAAACATTAAACAGATTGACTATCTTCAAAATACATTTATTGAGCAAAAAATTCAATAACAGGTCGATTTCCAATTCATGGAACACATATTTCTACTACTACCTCAACTGTCATACTTCCTTCCCCGTCCCGTGAAGACCTACACCTCTAGAATTCGCATAATAATAAAATCATTTATTCAACAAAAAAACATATAACATGTGACTACACATGTATTATGTGTTATCACATAAAATAGGTGAGAAACACCAGTATTGAATGTATAGAGATATTTTATTAAGCGCTTGCTTACCTTTTAACGTGTGATTCCTAACACTGGTTGGACGATAACAAGTGAAAATCGGTCGTTCAGTCTGAACCACCGACTCACACATTTGCGTGAATAGAATAATTATATGCGTGTCAACGAACTGATTAACGAAAGCAGTTAAGGCATAAGGTTCAATTCAACGAATACAATCAAAAGCTGTATTTTTAAATAGCAGTACATTTTCAATTGCCAGTAAAATTTATGGTTATTCATCATGTAATTTATTGGCCGAGTAATGACAGCTCTTTTCAGTGGAGTTCAGAATGTGTATGATGAAATTAGAGTGAATTTTTCTCCTCGTCAAGTTACTATGATTTATAGCATGTTCCTCTGAACTTCTCTGGGTATTTTTTGACAAATAGTAGGCCTTTCAGTATACAAGTATAGATTCTGTGAGATGAAATTGATTGGTTCACACTTTATAATTCTCTTCAATAATAGGGGAAGTACAAAGTGTGATACATCATTGTATTTTTATAAGGAATTCATTAATGAATAGTTTATGAATGTAAAAAAGTCATCAAAAATAACAAACATTGAGAGAATGTATATTGTATGGACCCAAATTAATGTAATACATTTGATACAAGACTACTGAGAACTACCCGTCTCTTTGATAATTTCAATCGTTGCAGTGAATGCCATAATTCGTCAGATAGAATCAAGGTCCGAGTGTGGGATGAAGACAATGACTTGAAAAGTAAACTACGGCAGAAACTAACAAGAGAGTCGGACGATTTCTTGGGACAAACAATTATTGAGGTAAAATATATAATGTATTTGACCAGATTGACAGTACTATACTACTTCTTTTACTATTATACTACTTCTTTTATATATCACAAGGAAAAAACTGTTCATATCAGTTATTTGAACAGGAAAGAATTGAAAACCATGCAAACACTCAACATATGAAAATAATGAAAAAAATTAGATGTTGAAGAATTTATCATTTTCAATAGTGAGAGTTCATTTTTGCAATACCTCAATCACCTTATTTCTTTATTTTTGAAATGTTCATGAGCAGGAAAATTACAAGCCTATATTTATTCTGATATGTTGGTTAGTATAGGGCAAATCTCCAAACCTGGTTTTGAACTAGTTAATCTCGATACACTGAGCTGAAGTTTACACCCAATGCACGAATGACTGAATGTCGCCATTTCAAATCCAGTATGGTGGACACCACAGAATTGTGATTTTCGTGATCTATTGAAAGCACTTCTTCCTCACTAGAATATCATCAGATAACAAAGGCTAGTAATGTTGTAGGCTTAACTATCTCCTGATGATGCTAACCTATGTCAGAGCTAATTTACGAATTTTCTGGTCGTTGTGTGACAGTTTTTATTCCTGACATTTCGACTACTACTGTGGTAGACATTATCATGTCTATTCCTGCTATTTTTTAATTACCTTCAATGCCTCATGAAGTCTCCCAAATTATTATATGCTGACGATCTGAAGGATTTTATTGTCTATCAATTCGAAGAATTTTTTCTAACATTGCAGAAATATATTACAGAAGGTTTCAATCGATGTTGTGCGAATCACCCTCATCTCAAAATCACTGATTGTTCCACAATATTTTTCTTCAAGGAATTTCTCTAGAACGGAATAAATGAATCACAATTATTCCGTAGGGATGTATGGTTTCTTGGTAAGACAAGTCAAAGAATTTCATTGAGTAGAAACAATGATTTCCCTTCACTACACGCAAGCTCGAATATGAAGAACTCATTTGATATCTTTCCTAACATGTGAAATTACCAATGTCAAATGCATTCAGAAAATATTTCAGAAATATTTTGTCTTGAACAGAAGTTTGTTTACTCTGTACATCTTTGTAAAGAGTACACACAAAGGACAATGTCGAATCCCGACTTTACCATGCATACTCTAATCTCAAGGTCGAATTCCATGTTCGAAGTCGAATTTCACGTTAAAGGTCATGTTTCATTCACACAGCTGAAAGACTTCCTTCAAGATCACATATCAGAAATCCTTCAAGGTCACAACTCAAGGTCACTCATCTAAGACAGACTCAAATCTCAAATCCGCCATATACGAGTTCATATGACCTTGCAATAGCTCAAGGTCGTGTGACGTCACTCAAGGACAATGCTATTAATGATGTCATATTGGAAGGGGGATGCCCAGAAACGGCTGTTTTCTCCTACTTAAATATGTTCATCAGTCTCTAAGGTGCTCACAATTACCTCTCCTAAATTCATCAAATTTTGGCTACAACTTACTTTATATATGAAATAAGAAATAGAGAAAATTGAAACTTATCTCTTTTCCACATATTTACAGGTACGCACATTATCCGGTGAAATGGACGTCTGGTACAACTTGGAAAAAAGAACAGATAAGTCGGCGGTATCGGGAGCCATCCGTCTCCACATATCGGTAGAAATAAAGGGAGAGGAAAAGGTGGCGCCCTACCACGTCCAGTACACCTGTCTCCACGAAAACCTATTCCATTATTTATGCGAACAAAATAATGGGGTGGTGACTCTGCCGGAGAATAAGGGTGACGACGCTTGGAAGGTGTATTTTCACGACGCCGCCGAAGAAATCGTCGACGAATTCGCCATGCGATACGGAATAGAATCCATATATCAAGCCATGACGTGAGTAGTGTCCAATATTACAATTCATGACTGAAAGGAAATTTACTTCAGAAACAGTACAAGAAGCAGAATAAATAATAGATTTCCTGTTTTTTAAAATATTTCTCTATTTCGTTTTGATACAATTTTTAACACGTTGCTTTTACTTCGAAGTCGTTCCTCAAAAATTATTTCAAAAGGGCTAGGTCCAGATTTCATCACACAACATTTTTTACACATCTGATAACAGAAAGGAGTCATAAGAGGACAAGGGCAATAGCAGGGGAGCCCACGATGCAAAATGGGGATTTACTCGACCCTCATAGAGACCTATTAGGTTGCAAAGCTTAGATGATAAGTAGAAAAAAATGTTATATAATATATACCTTTTCATCGGTGGGGGAAGCTGCTATAGATTATTAAATATGTAAAAAAAACTGTTGCATGGACATACTCGAGCGCGTCAGATATTGATACAATCAATGTCCTACGTATTTGTAATAATGTTGGTATGTTAATCTGATCGTTTGCATGAGGTGGGTGGTTGAACGTAAGGGTTAAAAATGAAAAAAAAAAGTTAATCGAGCGCGTCAGATTAAGATATATATGGTTCATCTTTCTGTTTTAGACGTGCTGTCTCATAATCTGACGATTATCTAGAGGGATTCGCCTAATTTGACAAAAAAAAATGTTTATCATTGAACTTAATTAATTGGAAAGCTCAGGAAATAGCATGCAAATGAATTAGTGTATGTTTTCAAGTAGAATACTTGAAATACTATAAAAAAAATAATAAAAAAATGCTCAAAAAAATGCAATTTTTTATAACCGATTAATTAATTAGTGAAGAAAAGAGAAATGAAACGTTCTATGTTCTTCACCACTTTTATTTGTAACTAACGTTACTGCAGTTACTTATACAATATATAAGTTTGAAAATGTCCTTATAGGAAGAAACTGCAGTAACGTCAGTTACAAATAAAAGTGGTAAAAAAACATGGAAAGTTTCATTCATCTTTTCTTCATTATGATTTTCTACCACGTAGAAAAGGCTACATCCATCCATTAATTCATTAATTAATCATCATCTTCATCACGAACGATTCTTGATCAGCTGTGATGGCGTCATGGCAACAGCATTCAGAGTGGGGACGGAGTGAGAGAGTAGTATATAGAGAAAAAGTGAAAAAGGAATAGAAACGCGGAGAAGTATATAAATATAGGCATCACGCAGCTGCACACATTAAACTTTCTCGACGAATTTTTGCTATTTCGGCTTGCGGAAATCGTCAGATTCTATATTTTTCGATATCCTTGAATTATTTTCTTCAAATAAAAAAAAAATAGCTACGCTCGAGAATGTCAAGATGACGTTTTTTTACAACTTTTCTGCCCTTCCCTTTCTTTACGTCACTCTCAAATTTTCAGATTACTGGAATATACACTTTTCAGCATGTAACTCACCCTACTTTGATCTGACGCGCTCGAGAATTTCTTATGATCAATTTTTTTCTACTAATCTGATCCTTTATCCTTCACGGGCGGCCTTATATATGGGGCTCATATTTGGTGAAGGTACTTAACCGGGTACAAGGTATCCCCCTGTATATTATTCTGCCGCGCTTCAGTAAATCCCGAAATCCAATTAGAGTCAATCTACTGTGAATATTCAGATGTTTGATAAGCTATTTGTGACTGCATCCTTGACTTCTGATAAACAAATTGTTTCATATCAACCAGTATTATGAATTTTTGCCAGTAATTTTGAATATATTCCTAAACATTATTTTTTTATGATCTGCGCGACTCTTATATTTTCCGTTTTCCTGTTCAATCATTTCAACATGATTAGTTGATGTAATGCTTACTGAAGAGTACCGAAACATCTTATATTTCAAATTAAATATCTTTGCAAAATAGGTCATGGAATGTTGTGGAGATTTCGGTTTATGTTTTTTCGAGGCAGAGTGAATGTAAAATAACTTGATGAAGAAGTTACCTGTAGTGCTACTTCAGGTAAAAACTGTGAAAGTTCAGTTAGATTGGGTTAGCATTCATTGAGTTTTGTTATGACAGATACGAAATTTTCAGGGTACATCCATTAGATACAGTAAAGGTAATTTAAAGATACAGACGTGTGTAGCTTAGGGAACATGTTTAGACATATTCTACTACTGGGTCTCGAACCTGGACTGTGGACCATTGAAAACCAATAAGAAAATGAACTATTTGACGATGAGGAAAGGCCTGGAGCTAGCGTTTCAATGGGAAAAACAAACGAGGTTTACTCTTGAAGCAAGAATGAATTGACATGCATGAAGTTTAAAAATATTTGAAAATTAACCAACTAGCGATAAGGAGAGGCCTAGAGCTAGCTTTTCAACTGGAAATATAAAAAACAAACTAGGTTTACTCCTAAAGCAACAATTAAATTGACATGAACTCATACATATAGTTGAGAAATATTGGAAAACGAACCAACTGACGATAAGGAGAGGCCTAGAGCTACTCAATTCTATATACATGGAGATATATGAATGCAGTTAACTGATGTATAAAAAAAATGGAAAATTGGGACAAAGGACACCGAAGAACATTTCGGAAAAAACTTTTGAGACCGTAAGTCATATCAAATGAACCAACTTTCCAACTAATTACCACAGATGCCGATCCATTCGAATGTATCATTGAGTTATTGAATAGAAATGTGTGAATTATTGGGGGAAGCGTTATATCATTATCATCACCATTCGTATGAGTTGTTCTGCAGGGAATCTGAGTATCATTGTCCCATTGGAAATGGCCGTTTGAAAACATGGACCAATAAGGTTTCCATTGTATAGTCCACAGAAAATGTTTACACTTCATATATCTTGAGAATGCGTTTCCTCTGTCTAACGGGGATTAGATACTATTGGACCAGTAATGGGTACCAATAATTATAAAACTTAGTTTCATCGTTTCAACAGATTGGGAATCCTGAATTATCGGGATATAAATTCAATAATTTTTTGCATCCATTTCAAATCTGTTAGTCGCAAACCGTGCACCAAATGAATTTTGAAAAAGTGATATAACTATTTTTGAAAATTTTCTGAAAGGTGCTGACACCTAGTTCTGCTGCTAAAACATGGATTGAAATGAATAAATTTCAACAGACTCCAGCATAGTCCAGAACAATGATTTCATTTTCGTTACTCGTAGCTGGTACTCAGTATTGTACATATTTCTGGGCTAGGCAGTATCAGTATTTCAAACAGTACCAAATATGACAGAAAGAATCGAACAGCGCAACGTGTAAATATTTGGAGGAACCATTTTCAAGAAATGGAGTGGCTTTTTGTGAACTACGATGGTAAACATTGTGTCTGAACATCATTGCCTGAGGAAGTCATTTCAATTTTAAATTATGTGGCTCGACATCAAGACGAAATTTGGAATATTGATCCATGTCTAATACCTAGATAGAGTTGATGGTGAAGACAACTCAAGACCTCAGTAGACATGGTTTCTGATAGGGATGGATCTACTTTGGAAAGATAGATACAACCAGCATACGTTAGGTGTCCCTATATGACTAGATAGGGACGGGAAGCATAGATATGAAGTGGACAATCCTCGATGATCCCAATCAACACAAAACCGATGGTTAAAAAAATATTTGCGTGAAAAAAAAATGGGTTGATAGTTGCATGTAATGTGGGAAAGGATTTCCCACACAGATGGAAGCATCTGTTTGAAAATCTGTTTAAAATCTGTTTTTCCGTTAATCAGCTGTCGCTCCCATACGAACAACAACTCTCAGAAGTTGAGAAACTTGTGCGAGCTAAGGACCAACAAGGTGTTACCTTTTAACGTGTGATTCCTAACACGGTTGCAAAATCATTCCAGCTTCGACCGGATGAATTCTCTCGAGAAAAATATCTGGTCGGGGCAGGAATCGAACCCACGGCCTTCCGATCGTGAGTCGGGCGCACTACCACCGCGGCCAATTTCACAACAAAAAACGGTATGCTTGAAAAAATATGATTTTCTTCAACAATTGGGAATAGGCGCTGAACTTGCTGAGCAAATCATTTTGTCAAAATGTACAAATGAAATATGCGACGCATTTGAAATAACATTCACTTGAATACAATGATGAGATCTTCGTTTGTTCACAGGGTGACATATTGAAAACGTACCACTCCCTATATTTCAGCCCATATAGAAAAACTTGAATTATATTCGAGAGTTATATTTAAGAGGGACACTTCGTAAACTGGTTTTCAACTGAATTACATCAATCCCCTGATAGGGGCGAACACAACCCCTAAAATCTTCGTAGTACCACCTTTCTTTATAGTACTTTTGGAGAAAGCAAGTGGAATCATGGTGATATTTTGGCCAAAAAGTTAGTAAAAGGTAATTTATCTTATGGAATGTTGAAATGTTGTCCATCATCTTCTAAACGGTGATAAAGTGTGCGCACAGAATCCTTTCTAATATTTCGAAAATCGTCTCCCTGAAGTTCTCTACACGCAGCTGTTATTCTACTCTTCAAATACTCCGAATCTCGAGGCCGTGTTTGATAAACAATTGATTTTAGATACCTCCATGGGAAAAAATCTAGAGGTGATGCATCGGGTGATCGTGGTGGCCCATAAGTCGACCATTTTATTGCTCCTCTTCGACCAATTCAGATTTTCTTTATGTGCCGAAACTTAGACGATGGTAAGCTCTCAAATTGAAGCACTGTACATCACATCGACTCCATAAATGAAGTGTTTCAATTACAACCAAATGACCTACTGAGTCAAACTAATAGAATATATCTGATTTTAATTTGTCACCTTCATTATTAACAAGTATAGAAACAATACCTATGCTACTAATACATTATTAATAAATAGATCATAAAGTTATAAATACAAATGAAGAGCATGGCGTCAGTTCTGAAAATATTCATTAGATATTGAATTTTCCAGGCATTTTCACTGCCTTTCTACAAAGTACCTATGCCCTGGAGTTCCTGCCGTTATGAGTACACTACTGGCGAATATAAATGCTTACTATGCTCATACAACGGCTCTGTCAGCGGTCTCAGCTAGTGACAGATTTGCTGCATCCAATTTTGGTGTAAGTTATTTTATCTCATTTTCAATAGGATTTTTCTATGTTGGAGTCGTCTACAGCTATAGTGTTCTATGTACGTCACGTTAATAATTTCCCGAGACACCTAAATAATTTTATAGTTATTGTGATCTTGTCAGCCGTCTAATAAAATTGTGATGTCACGTAACGTAACTCACTATAAGAATTCAAATAACTGAATTATCAAACCATGACCGATGAGTACCTATCTACCTAAAGACAACATTAAACAAAAATACGACCTTGGCTCCTCGGTTTGTCAGGCCGTTTGAATTCATTTTCTCGCGCGATAGTTTAAATTTTTGCGATAACTTCTATAATACTGATTTCACTCGTATGGGGAGAGGAATAATGCGCATGAAATGCTAAAGATAACTAGTTTATTCATTTCTCAATGGTTAACATCTTATTCATCATCAGTTTTACAATTGCCACATTATATGAGACCGTTATTTCAAACATTGAAATGGGTATAGTGAGCTATCCTCAAAAGATAGACATATGACATCGCGGACTTGTTTGAAGACCTATAAAAAATAATTTAATGTAGTCATTTGTTTTTTCATATCTCGATGAGCCATCGCTATGATTTCTCACATCATATTTCAAACTCTTCACACAAATCATTCTTGAATTATACACATAAACCTTCCTCTTCCGTCATTGGTAAAAACTGTATGAAAATCCGTTCCGTAGTTATGAGTTCAGACAGTCAGACAGACAGACACGGCTTGTGGCTTTATACATATGTATTAATTGGAAACAGTGTAGAAGTGACTTCTGTTTCTTTCCTTCTAAATTCTTTACATTATTGATTCCTCACATTTTTATTTCCGACAAATTCTTTGTATTGTTGTAATAATAGAAAAAGTATTGAACGAAATTAATCGATTCCAACGGACATATTATCAGTTAATTTGACGTACAAACTTGTACTTTATGCATTCCTATGTTTTAAGAACAATACACGAGCACTACAGAAAAATGCTGAAGGTGCTCTAAGAGCGGTGTCTGTGCGTTCACGTTGGATTTGAATCGCTAGAGATTAAATTCATTTGAGAAAAAGTTCTCAGAAAGTTTATTCCACATGAACGCTGTTCTCCAAATGAACGAGTTCTCAAACAGGAAAGTTCGAGATGTACTGAGTTGAATCTCGAAACGATGAGCAGCCACAGTACTACTCTTGTTGGAATCAAATGTGCCAAGTTACGTAAACACCTCTCGTGAAAATATTTATGAAGAAGAGATAAATCTCCAAACCTTTCTTCGATATTTCAGACTATTAAGGTTGCAAGTGATGTTAGTGTCTACAATCAGGGGAATGGCTTTTTTTCTGGATGGAATCCAGCAGCTTCAGGGTATGCTTAGGGACGGAGGTCTATACATGTGAAATATACTCCAAGGAGGGGCTGAGCTGAGCTCCATAAAGAATCAAAAGTTGCTGGGGTTTGTACAGTTTTTTTGGTTCGGAACAATGTTCCAAGCTTTTGGGAAGCAGCCTTTGCAGTTCAAGCAACATGATTTTGCCAGAACATATTAGTGTCCATTTTAACCCCAAACAAACTTATTGAAGCCAGAAAGCGGCATTGTCTGCCCTAACATTATTATATCCGGTTTTTGTGGCCATTCAATCGAGTCTGGTTACTTTCATCCCAATTCGAGGGATGGCGACAATATGGCTCCATGAGGAATACCAGCGTTGATGATATTCCTTGGTTAAATATATCATAAATTCTCATTCTAGATTATTATTCAACTCAGGCATGTACTAGAATTGTTCATTGTCATTGTCATTAAAACAATGGATGTAAATTTCAGAAAGAAAAATTCGTCAGACTCCTGGACCAGTTGCACAACTCCCTGCGAATAGACCTCTCCATGTACAGAAACAACTTTCCCGCGTCCAGTCCAGACAAACTGAAAGATCTCAAGTCAACTGTGGATCTTCTTACCAGCATCACCTTCTTCCGTATGAAAGTTCAAGAATTGGCGTGTCCTCCACGGGCTAGTACCGTAGTCAAGGACTGCGTCAAGGCCTGTTTGCGATCGACATATCAATTTCTGTTCGAGAACACATACGAACTCTACAACAGGGAGTTCCAGAGTGACCCCAATGAGCCCAAGAGGGATACGGAGGACCACGGTCCACGCCTGGATAGTGTGGACTTCTGGCATAAATTGATAGCACTCATAGTGTCCGTCATAGAAGAAGATAAAAACAGCTATGGACCTGTTCTGAACCAGTTCCCCCAGGAGCTCAATATAGGACAGGCAAGTAACAGTATATTTTTTTGATAAATCTGAAATACTTGAAATTGTTTGGAATGTATTAAACGTTCAAGCCACTAATAATGATAAAATTAACTATTGTTACCATATCAGACAGGGCCCTTTATGTGATTGTGCAATTCCGGGCTATTCATTTCATTTCACTATGATGATGGGTGGAGATTTACATAATATTCGTGTATTACTGAATACTTCAAAGTCAAAAAATATTCTTTTGATGATTATATAATCATATGAGGAAAAATTGTATTCATTGTCTCAGCTCCCTTGAGTCACGTAGTTCATAAGAAACCCTTCAAAATTATATACTTCACGTAAATAATTGAAAAAAATAAAAATCCGGGCTACCAGGCCGTGGTTGAAAGGAACCAAACATTTCGTCTGCTGCTGCATCATCAGTGGTATGTGCGTTTACTACAAAGTCTCAGTAACGAACGTTACATTCGGTTTCATTCGACCACGGCAACTTGATTGTATTCTCTTCAATTGTGACTCCGGTTATGAAAGTCAATGGTCTTATATTGAAGTTGATAATTTGTAACGTTTCACTGTGCTCAACATGGACCCAGATTGATCGTGGATCGATACGTAACATATCACGTATTGCCTTCGAAAAATAATAGATTATCCTATACCACCCTGCATATTGTGAAAAACTGAAAATTTCGAGTTTTTTTCCAGTTGTCTGCTGCTACAATGTGGAGCCTATTCGCGGTGGACATGAAGTATGCATTAGAAGAACACGAACAGCACAGGCTGTGTAAATCGTCAGCGTATATGAACTTGCACTTCAAAGTTAAATGGCTGTACTCCAATTACGTCAAAGACGTACCTCCTCATAAGGGAGCAGTTCCAGAATATCCAGCGTGGTTCGAACCCTTCGTAATGCAATGGTTGAACGAAAACGATGACGTCTCCTTAGAGTATTTACATGGTGCCTTCAATAGAGATAAAAAGGATGGTGTAAGTGTTATAACGCGATGAAACCGTTATACTGCAAATCAATATTTGACTCAGGATCAAAAAAAAGTTTCATTCCACAGATAATCAACTTCATTTGATATAAGTGATTCCATAACAGCGGATGAAATATAATACATATGAAACGAATGGAATGAGAAAATCCTAACTTGAAGGTTCGATACATTTTCCCGATACGTAGCCTTCAAGTTGAATACTTCGAAGCTCTAGATCCCTTCGTTGTGATGTCCGCTATCAAATATTGAAACTTGACGACTTTTCCTTTTATCTTGTACAAAGTGGTGCTATATCTCGAAATGTTGAGTCTTCTGTAGTTAACAATCGTTTCATTTCAGCTTGTTTTGAGATAGGTAGCTTGTGATGCTACCTATCTCAAACCTTTGGTGTAGTAATGACTATTACTGGGTTTTTTTCCCAACACCAAACCGTTATTTTTAACACTTCGACACGTGTTTCGATCAACAAATGATTATAGGTAGCTTCTTTAGCAGCTTCAGTGAGTCTCATATACTCCGTTTCAGAGCTAAACATCGCTGCAGCTTTCTTGATAACTACTCCACCGTATTCAATCGTCTGTTCTTCATATCTATACGATCAGATTAACTAGTCAAATAATTCTGCTACTTCATCATTATTCTTGAGAAAACCAAGCACTTATTTAGAGTACCTTCCTAGTACCTAGGTTCTTTTGCAGATACCTGTATTGGATTGAAGTTCTAGGTACTAGGTACCTATGTACTATCTAGTTTTATTGAA